TTATTATTATTATACATCTGCGTGATATTATATATCGTTGTCTGAGTGACATTGTAAATCTGAGTGATCTTATAAACCTGAGTAATTGTATAAATCTGTGTGAATTAAGGCAACAGTTAGGCCTTCGTGATAACAACAGTCGTTGTGAACCTTTGGAAATACATCAGTCTTAGCAAGTTACAATTAAATGCGTTTGGGTTAAACTAATTATAAATCTAGGACTTAGAAATAAATCAGTAGATTACTACGTATATTAAAAAGAAACAATTCTCGAACACCTCGTTTAACTGTAGCGATCTACCAAAATCGCACGTTAACATTATAGAAGAACACTTGTAAAGTGTTAGAATTACTATAAAATTAAAAGAAATAACATTTTAACATCCTGCTTAACAGTTGTAGTTTACAAGAATTACATATTAACAATATTAATTATTATTATAATGATACATATTTAATATCAATTCATTATCGTAATGATAAGGATTCAATATTAAATTGATATCTTTTATTATAATTATATTATAATAATATTATAAATAATATGGATTGAATATATCATTACTAAAAATAACGCTACAATTATCAAAAAATGTTACAATTATATTGTAACTCATATTGTAATTAAATTTATTAATATTGCAATTAGGTTGCAACTCAAATGAAATTTAAAAACAATTATAGGAAATATCTTTAATCATTATATAATATTTTATATAAATCAGATCAAATCAAATTTAAGTAAAATCTGATTCAATTTGAATTCAAAATATCTAAATCTAATTCAATTCAAATTCAACAAATCTGAATTTGATAAAAATCTAAATCTAATAAATTTATCAAATGATTTGATCTGAATCTGACAAATCTGAATCTAAATTCATATTTTATTTGTATCTGAATCTGAATCTGAATTTGTATTCTACAGATCAAAAAAATTTTTATGTATAATAATAAATGCTGCCTCTGACTTTTAGAATAGACTTTATTATTAAAAAAATATTTTTTTTTATTTTTTAACAATAAATGCCACCTCTGACTTTTAGGATAGCCTTTATTATTAAAAAAAAGTTAGTTTTAATAATAAATATCACATCTGACTTTTGAAATATGCTTTATTATTAAAATAAAGTTTTGATAATAAATGCCACCTTTGACTTTTAAAATGGACTTATTATTAAAAAAAATATTTTTTTTATTTTTTTAATAATAAATGCAATAAATGCTATTTCTGATTTACAAGATAGACTTTATTATGAAAAAATATATTTTTTAATAAACTTTAATTATAAATATCATTTTTAACTTTTAGAATAGATTTTTATTTCAAATATGACAAATCAGATCTAAATCTGATAAATCTGATTTGATCTGATCTATTGGATCTGAATCAGATTCAGATTAAATCAAATTATTTGCAGAATACTATCATTATAATATCATATTGATATTAATTATATAAGAATTTAATAATTTGTCAGATATTTTACAAATTTGAAATATAATATTAATTTTAATTTGATATTTTTTAAATAAATTTATTATAAAATTTAATAATATATGAAATTAATAAAAATAAAAAATATTTAATATAATTAATAAATAATATTACTGTAAAATAAAAATTAATTTTAATTCATTTTATTTCAATATATTAATAAAAGTACATTATCAATTTTATTAATTGAAAAATACACTACCAATTTTTTGTTTGAAGTTGATAAAGGGGATATTTTAATAATGAATATTTTTTTTTAATTTTTTCAAACCAATCTACAACAATAAAGACATAATCATTTTCATTATTATCTTATATAGAAAATTCCTTTAACTATTCTTTAAATTCTTTATCTTAAATGATAACAAAATCATTAAGATATACTGTAAATAAACTTTTGAAAAGTTATTATTTTTTTTTGATTGTATATGTTACTAATTTATACTATCTTATTTTAGAATTTATAATTGATGTATTAAATTCTATATCTTTATCTGATAAATATAATTCAACTTTTAAGCTTTGTAAAGTTAAATAAAGTTTATCATAATCTCTTTTAGACATTTTTTTTTTTAAAAGAAATATTAAAATAGAATTTAACTATTCTATTTTTAAAAATTAAAAAATTATATATTAAAATAAGATATTTGAAATATAAAAAAATATTTAACCTTACCATTTACATTATCATCTTGATTTTCTTCTATTTTAAAAGATTTATTTTCAATTTAAAAATAATCAATTAAAATTTGATTGATTATTTTTAAATTCAATACAAGATTTTATAAATCTTAATTCAAAATCATTATTAATTAAATGTCAATTTACAAAAAGTGTAATATAAAATTCAATAAATCTAAATCTAAATTTTATGATTTATAATTAGTATCATTTCTTTAAAAATATGATGTACCATTTCTTTAATACCACATTGAGTATTTATAAGAGTACCATAAGTTTTATATGTAACAAAAGATGCATATTGATATATAAATATAGTAGATTAACAAAATTTACAAAAACCTATTTTAATTTTATAAAATAAAAGAAAATATATTATTGGATTGTTGGAGGATTCGGTTATTTCCCTATCTTAACATTCAAGGAAATTTGCACAAAATAAAAGGCATATGCGGATCGAGGCGTTTTTAGACTATCAAGATGGCTTTTATATCAGATTAACTATCAGATCAGTTCGAGATTTTAAAACTAGGTGAAGAAGTCACTGCATTTTGAATGTGAAAATTTAACATCAATTTATTTCTATAAGAGTGTATAGCACGCTTTAACTAAACGCATGCGCATTCAAATGAATTACGGGTAGAAATCTAAATCAAGAATTTATGCAATTACCAAGATATCATTATACTCGCGTAAATTAGAAATTATATATTTCATATAAAACCTTTTTAATTAATAAAAAAACCCCCAAACCTTTCCTTTTTTATTACAAGTCTGACGGAATGCTTTGAATTTGGTTATCAAGTATGGAACACGATTGTAAATTATAAAAGTTGTCTAATAATGATATATAGTCACAAAAATTGCAATATGATGTGACTATATGGGTCTTATTCTAATCATATTATTAGTGGGCGAGACTATCTAAAAAAAAGAAAAAAGAATGATTTTCCTTACTCCACATTAATTTTTAACTTTTTAATAAGCGTGTTCAATAGATTATCGGGAGTTTTTTTTTTATTAAAAAAATTTCCCCATATGAATATTTTGATGATTCTTGTACTACACTGTACTTTTCGGCTATGCACATATTTATTCAAAAAATGCAAAGCCTAATGTCAAACTTTATTATGCGTTTTTTTTTATATGTGGAACCGTAGACACAGCCCTTTTAAAAAAGAAATAAATTTATTTATTTATTTATTTGAGATCTCCTTTTTAACTTTCGATATTTAAAATTAATTATTTATATTCAAAATGTTGAAATTTCCTATCCTTAAAAAAATGGTTCGTAAACAATCAGCTAAAACAAAAAAAGTTGAAGTTGAAAATCCCAAAACACCAGCTACACCAGCTACACCAGAGTCTATAGGTGATATTAACGATATTGCAACATCACCAACCTTTACTTCAATAGAACAAGAAAATACAACAATATGGTCTTCGTCATTTTCTTGGAATATACAATCAACTTCAGAACTTGATGCAGACTCTGCAAACAACATATGGGAAGAAGATCATAAAGATTCCGATAAATTATATATTACAAAAAATAATGAAGTACTAGATAACAAAGATGATTTTGAAGAAAATGTTTGGACAGATGTACAAATGGTTGCTGGTGTACCCAATAATCAATCATTTTTTAGCGTACCTTTTACGGTTCCCGATTCGTCAACTATTTTAGAATCGCAGGTAGAAAGTGATTTAACTACTTCAAAAGCTGTTGAACCAATTTCTTATAATAAAAAAGAAGTAGAAAATAATCGTAAAGACTCTAATGAAGCATCTAATTCTGAAAAATCTGATTATGTTGATTTAGGAGAAGACAATTTTCCTTCAAAAGAATTATCTAAAGAATTTGGTGAATTTACCAATCCTGATGTAAAGCTTGATATTGAAATTATTTTGGACAATCAAGAACTAAATGATTCATTTAATCAATGTGAAAATGTGAAATCAGAGAAATTTGTTGTAAATGAGAAGGAAGATGATGATTTTGGTGTTTTTGAATGTAGTGAAGAAAGTAGTTTTGATGAATTTGGTGAATTTAAAAGTGAAGACACAAATGATTTTTATAATTATCAAGGAAACGAACAGTCTATTTCTGATTATTTTAGTGATATTGAAAATGGAGGAATAAATGAAAATGTCACTGTTATTACTGAAGAAAGTAATAATTCAGAAATCCAAAATGAATCACCCTTAGATTTAGATCATATCATGGTAAAATATCAAGTTTTTCTAAAACTATAATTTTTATGATAATTTATTTTTAAAATAACTAACCAAAATTTTTAAATTTTTCATAAATAGTCTATAAAAAATTCCGTTGCTGGATGGATTGCCGTTTTGGATAAAATTTATAATTTACGGGTGTTAAATAGTCACAATAACAAAGTAAGACCCCTTTCCATAGAAGATCTTGTATATAATTCACATGAGTAAGTCCATTGTTGAGATAAATTTTTTAAATTTTTTTTTTTTTGCTCAATGTTGACTAATTTTTTTTTTTGATCCATTAGAATGATGAATGCTGACTTGAATTGGAGTTCGTTTATAGAACTTTGGAGTGATCAAGGAGGAGTTATTGGGTTTACATGGCGTGGTTCGCAAATTCAAAAATCATTTTTGGAATCAGTTAATTCTATTTCTATGATCAAGACGGCGAATCGACTTCCAGGCAGTGATTTATTTAATGATAAACAAACTTTGTCATCATCAATGTACCAAACTACTCACGATGACAATTATAGAAAAACTGAATTCTCATCAGCTCAATCTACGCATGATTACAAGATAGAACGAGAAGAAAAGAATTCAACAGAAATGCCTTTTAATAACACAGATAACATACAAGGACAAGATGCTCCTATCGAGTCTACAGAGGATAACGATATTGATCAAGGTGTAAATTTGAATCGAGATTCCTGGATAACAATGTCAGATCTTTCATTTTTGGAATCATTATCTTCCAGACAATCTAGTATATCTAGCACCAATAAATCACAACGAAAATCCGAAACGCTTCTTGACGATTTTCTTGATATTGGAGAAACATCAACGACAATACCTAATAATAATTCTCGAATGGATAGTTTTATAACACAAATTAATCATGTTTCAACCGATTTGATCTCAAATCTTGGAACTTTGAAATCCAACCCAATTAAAGAAAATCCTTCATCAAGTATCGCTGTAAACTTACTTGATGATTCAATAATTGACTTGAAAAAAGTTGACGGGAACGTGAATGAATTATTGAATCCAATTAATTCCAATAATTTTCACCCCCCTGCAAAGAAGAAAAGTACTTCGTCGCTCTCTTCGGAGTTTGGAGATATGGTTTCTGCTTTTCCCTCGGATAATTTGAATCAAGGGAACTTCTTGAGCTTCGATGATCAAGTGTTTCCGAAATCACCGTCTTCTAATAAAAACACGGCATCATCAACAAAATTATATGATCATCCTGAATACGATACTTCAAGTTCTAAATCGTTGTCTTCAGAAATGGTTTCAACTAATGATGCTGATTTAAGCAAACCCAGTGAACAAAAACAACAAGAAGAGAATGTTAATTGGATTTCGTCTACTGACCTTTCATTTTTAGAATCCTTTACCAAGAACTCCAAACCTTCAAATTCGCGTAAATTTCAGCAAGATACATTTTTTGATTTTTCAGAATTTACTAGTGATCTAAAGTTGCCTTCAAATGTGCAACCACAGAACAGTTCTGATACATTTTTACAAATGATGTCACATCAAGTTGATAAGGGAAATACATTTTCAATAATTAATAAAATTTCTAAAGTGAAACAGGAGCAAACATCACAAAATTCAAATTCTAAACAATTGTATACGCCTTCAATGAAAGTTGGTTCTAAATCGGATTCTTCGGAATTTGGTGAAATGGTATCAGCATATGATCATCGAACCAAGCAAGATGATTGGATGTTAAGTACATCATCAACAAATCAAGATAATTGGATGTCAAATTCTGGACTTTCATTTTTAGAGACTTTAACAACTTCATCTTCCTCCAATAATAATCATCCTAAATCTAAACAAAATTTTGGAGATTTAGATGAATTTATATTTCCTTTAAGTAATAATAATAGTAATATCATTGAGAAAAAAAATAATCGTATTCATCATGAACTTTTGTAAATATTATTTTAATATACTTAAATTGATTTAATTGAAAAAAAAAAAAGATATTTATATAGATTACAAATTTCAATCAAGGAAAAATACAATAAAATAAAAAAAAGTATTCGCCAATGAAGGAAAAAAAGTCAATTGGATCATTACAGGCGGATAAGTAATTCTTTCCCTTTTTTTTAAGGACCGAACCAAGACTCATCATACTGCATTCGAATGTCATTTCACCCAATACTATGCAAAAAAATAAGATCATTTTCCGGATTAAATATAAATATGAATATGCAACGGTATCGTGGCGATATTATCGTAAAAAAAAATATATATATATTTTAAGAAATGATTTCATGTGTTCAAAAGAACGAAGAACCAAGGAACTTGCCTTAATAAATTTTAAGACTAAAAACTTTGTGAGCAAGTAACGAAATATTTTCTTTCAATAAAAAAATATATAAAAGAAAAGATTGATCACATATATCCAAAAAAAGGAGGTAATGCATTATTCGTTTGTTAAAAATACCGTTTATCTTTCGAGTCATCACAAAAGAGCGAATAAGCTGAACCAAGTTCTTGTGTAACGGTATTTTGTGAGATCGGATTATTATGCATCAAATTAAGTGACATCCCATTATTATCGGCGGTTTGAATTTGTCTTGTATCAATCAAATTATTGAATTGGATTTTATTACTAGACTTTGCAGTACCGCGAGATCGTCGAGGATTGGTCTTATTGTGAGTTCGAAAATGAGCCGCGAAATTATCCGAACGTCCAAACCTTTTACCACAACCAGGATAATTACAAGTATATTTTCGTTCGCCGGTATGAGTGATCATGTGTCGTTTCAGATGTTCGAGCCTCTTAAAGCTCCAAGTGCATCCGGGCCAATCACATTCATGACGATTCCTTGTCGTAGGACTGGTCGAATTGTTTCGTTGAGATGTGGTGGTAGGATTAGCAACTGAAGTGGAGCAAGTTGATTGTGAACTATCTAATGGTTGTGCGAAAGAAATACTTCCAGGTATTGTAGAGATACTATCGGAGCAAGTTGAAGTTGGACTAGGAGTCGGATGATTCATGAAGATGTTTGTATTGTTAATATTTGATTGTATTGATAGATGAGGAGTGGGTAAAGAGAAAATGGGTAACATCCAATTATGTATCAAATTTTGATGAGTAGCACGTTCATCATCTGCAAATGTAATCCCTTGAGACTCCGTAAAAAAATGATTTGATTCGAAATTTGAAGACAATAAGAATTTCGGTTCGATATTGTTGTTATTTATAATTGTTGAAGTATCAATCGGAGAATTGGATTTCAAAGTTGATGTTAAATTGATTTTTTGATCTAATAATTAAGGAAAGAAGAAGAGAAAAATTTGTTTTATTAAAAATAATTTACGGTAAAAATAATGAATTTGATGACTTACCCATTGATGTAAATAAATTCATCGGAAAGACACTAGTGGGAAGAACGTAAAACGAAAAAAAAATAATAAAATGTATAATTACAAATTTAAAATAAAAAAATCTTTAGGATAGTAAGGATAGTATATCTGAGTTTAAATATTTGGTCACAAGAAAAGCATCGTCACGCGGCCTAAAATTGATTCCGCAAAAAAGACCAAATAGGATTCCTTCCGGAAGAAGAGCTCTTTATTTATTTCAAGAGAGGAGAAGAGCAAAGGAAAAAAAGAAATAACTCGCAAAAGAAATAAAGCTTGAGAAGTAAAAGAGACAAGCGCCTTAGTATTAAAATAAAATAAAAAAGGTTTGAAATTGAGAAGGTTCTACTACAGGGACAACCTTCCGAATACATATCTATTTAAATGAAAATTTTCATCTCTTGAGCATTTTGTTTAAATTAATTAAAGTATGTCCGTATAAAGCTACAATCAAAACTAAAATTGTATAACTAAAGACAAAGAATAACATTCTTTCTTGTTTCAAGCTTATTTTAAGAGATCAATAGATTCTTTGCGGTATTATTGCATCATTGCATATTTTTAGTATAAAATTATATATATATATATAAATACTGTATATAAAAAAAGGAGTTAATCGAAACAATTACATTTTATTTTACAAGGATTTGATGATAAAAACGAAATTGATTGAAGTTCTGATTTTCTGATTGTTGTTCGAATATTTGTTGAAAAGTGACTTGAGATTGAACTTGGCTCTCAAGTAACCAAAGCAAACAACTGATATTTTTACCCAGGAAATTTAGTATGGGAGAGTGAGTCTCCGATCTAGAGAATAATTTGTTGGGAAAACAAATTTTTTTTTTATAAATTTGTAAGGGAATGATGGTGATTGTAATTCTCTTCTTCACAAGTTAAAATTGCCATAACAATCATCATAGTTCCCCTGCATTTTGTTGTAAAATTGATTAACAAAAAAAAGAAAAAAGAGACAATAAATTTTTTTTTTTTTGATATACAGTAGACACTAATTCTTGTATTTTCGAGAAATTCATTGATGTGATTGTAAATCTTCGACGCACCAACCGAAGTTGATCAATCATGTGATTTCAATAGTGAATGGATCAACATCTATATTTAATATAAATAACCTGTCATTGTTTCCTATTTACTTCTGTTCTACCTTTGATCCTTAAAGGATAAAAAGGAGGAAAAATATATCAAAATATATCTATATTTATATAATTATGATGAATCATCAAGATCAAGATGAATTAGGTGAATATAACGATGTTCCTTTTTATAGTAAGTCAAATTATTTTCTTTTAAAAAAAAAAAAAAATTTATATATATTTATATATAAATATTACATTTTGACCAATAACATATTTATTTATTGAAAAAAAAAGATAATTCATCAACTTCACAACAATATGATCATGATTTCGATAGCGATGCGTTACGGCTTGATAGTTTTATAACAACAAACGATCCGAACCATTTATTAAGTTCATTTAGTTTTATAACAACAAACGATTCAACCTATTCACCAAATGAAACTTATATTCCTCGAAAAAATGACTATAATCATAATACAGTTGATCTCTTTGATGATTTAATTTCAATGACAAATCCTGTTGATCAAAATGGCAGTTCTACGTCAAATTCTACTTTAAATTTTGAATCAACTAGAAATAAAGAATTCAACTTTGGTTATATTCCTGTTGAAAATACACGAAAAAAAGGTTTAGATCAGGAATTTCAAGAAAATTTAATTAAAATTGATCTTATTCAATGTCAATTTGTGTACCCTTCCAAAAATCAAAGTTCTATCAAGACAACTGAAGCTGGAGATATGGCATTTCTTTATCGCTGTGACCAGGATGTGGTGTCGGTTTGTTTTAACAAAATGCAACATGAGGCAGCAATCCCATTAAGCGAAATTATTGGTTTCTGTACCAATGAAGGAAAAATTCTTATAAAATTGAAGAAAAGTTATCAACATTCCGTAAATTCTTTTTTCTTCTCTTTCCTTTTTTTTTTTTTTTTTTTTTATTATTATTATTATTAAATTTAAATAAACATTTCACTTTACGATCAATTTTTTTTCTTTAGTTTAAGCATCATCTTGGAGGTTTTCCATATCTTCTTGATCCTACTCCAATGATTTATGATCCATCCAATAACAAATTTGATGGTGCACAATCTTTATTGTTATTTCCTCATTCTTTAAAGCCTTCCGCCTTAACATCACTAGAATTACGTATCGAAAGATTATACTTTATGAAACACGGAATTCGTAATGAAGCCATCAATGATGATGGACCAAAGGTTCGTTGTAAAGCTAATGAATGTAGCCAGTCCAGTATTTTTTTTATTTTTTTTTAATAATTATTTATTTACTTATTAGATGTATATAACATGTGTTTTCCCACATGAACGCCGAGCAATTGCATTTCCTATTAATGCCCCATTTCATAGATTATTAATTGTTATCGAGAGTAGATTTGGAAAGAAATCTCCTACTCTTAGTTACTTGATTGGTAGAGATGATTTGATTCCAATAAATAACGATGAAACTTGGCAGAAAATAAAAGCTGAAGCTTCAGATGATAATCCTTTGTTGAGATTGGAACTTCATGTTGATAAATGAATCATCGAAATTTAAATTGACAAAGTGGTTAATTAAGAGGAATTCTTTTACAAAATACTATAACTTATTAAATTCTTGTGACACGTTTCATTTATTATTAAAATTTGTAAATCATATCATTTAAATAAATTAACCCATTAAATATATAATACGATTTTTTTTGGATAAAAGATTATAAGGACTTGAGTAATGTTATTTGACGCGCCAAATTTTCAACTGGTGTGATTCATGGGATCGAGAACAATTATTGTGTCACCTTATTCAGCAAATGAATTATTAAAAATTAACTGAATATCGTATGTGAAAATCGGATCAATTAGCAATGTCATTATAAATTCCGAATGCGAACTCATATTGAACGTTATAATATAGCAATTTGTGAATTTTCAAAATTAAAAGATTAACGAAAAGAATAAAGTGCGAGAACCTTTTTTTGTACATACATCTAGACACGAAAAATAATTTATCCCTGGTATTCGTAATTCATAACTGCATTTTGAAGTGATTCGAATTCGGTGCCTCTCTCATGTTTTAAATCAATTATCAATTCATTTTGTTAATTATTTAAACAATGTTCATAGATAGTAAATTTGATTCACGATACGTGCAACATTTGGTTGTGTCTTTAAATTGTGTAGTAGATGACCACTTTAAAAAGTGAGCATTCATACTATCAATAGGAATAAGCAGATAAATTCAAGAGTACTCTTAAGGAGTCCTGATTGTAAAGTCAAAGAGGTACGATCAAATGATATTTTGTCGAGAATCCGAAATGTCTTAAGATCGGTTTTCGTTGTCCAGTTCAGGATGTTGCAGGCTCCTTGGCAATTATGGAACAGGTATAAGTTAAAACAATCACCTCTCGGATCAACTGACAAAAAGTCAATTAAATGATTATCATAATGAAAAAAATAATTTGACAGCAAAATGGAGAGAGTTATGGAGTCAACTTATTACCAATAACATTCAATCGACTGTTGAATATTTTTGTCTAAAATATTCCAGTATTTTTTTTTGCAAGATTTGATACATGGATTATATTATTAGTTAGCTTTCAAAATTGCAAAGGAAAAGTTTGATCTGTAGATAAATAGAAATCGAAGCGACCTGGGCAACTATCGTTATATTGTACGATCAATAAAGTCATATCCAAGCTTCAAAAACTTTTGCATTTGATCATATGCAATTTCCTAATGGATAATAATTATGGCCTTTTTTCAATTTATTATAATTAAACGGAATATTATGATTAAATTAGATCCTAGGAAGCGTAAAGCGAAAGGATGTAATTGATAAAGAGAATCTTCAAGTTAAACAATTGACAAAAGCTAAAAAGCTTTATTATAAAGCATCAATTACGAGTTAGATTTAATAGTATATGTTATCTTCCACAAATGCTAATGGATTTTATTACAAGAGACACATCTAATAAGGGACTATGAAAGAGCCAATATTAAAAGATTTTCATGTGATTGGTTGCAATTTTCAATTACAAGAATCAAAAAATAAATAAATAAATAAATATTTTTATCTTTATTTAAATTAAATGAATTCGACTAATCGAGATCGTCCCTTGTTTATAAATAAAGTGAGAAATGTAAGTTATGTGCAAATTTATCAGAACAAAAAAATCATAATTCCACCGGGGCTTTTTATGAAATTAAATAATTTAGGTTATAAATCATCATTTTCTCATCGATCTCATGGTCAAAACAATAGAAATAATTCCAACAAAGGTCGTCAACTTTACGATTCTTCCAAAACCATTATGACCTCCGGTCTTTTTTTCCCAATAAACTCTTCTTTTCTCCCAAATCTCTTTATCTTTACCATTCAACATACTTTGTAAATCATCAAACTTGATTTCTACCATTAGATATTTGTGATCACTTGCTTTATAATCATGATTACCAATCCATTTATTAATAACTTCAAAACCACGTAAAAGGGTCCAATCTAGTTTTGCTTTAAACAAACCAAAATATTCTTGATAATGAAAAGTTATGTCATTTGTACGAGACCAAGGATCATAAAATCCCGGATTCCTCGCCGATTTTAACACATCAAGTGGGAATCCCGACGAAGTTACCCTGGACAATTCCTTTTCCTCCAAGTAATCATTATTGTTACGTAAAGATAGCAAAGTTTCTAATATTTTTGAACCACCTGACCGTAACTTTAAATTGATTTCACCATCTTCCGTATGCCAACCAAATAAATTAGTATTCCACCACTCAGGTTCTGTTGTACCAAGTGAAAGAATTCTATAACGATCTTGACAATATTTGGGTGAAAGTCGAACTATGGAATGACCAATTGTATTTAAATCTCCGAAAATTATTTGATAAGGATGAGTCTTGATATTAGAAGCCGAGTCTAAGAATATGTCTGAAAATTGTGATATACGACCAATTATACCACAAAATACCTGATCATATTGAAATGTTAAAATTAGTATGTAGTCAACTTATGAACTATCAAGAATGCAAATGCGTTACCTCTAAATGCACACAATAACATAAAATCGGTGGTCCGGCCGGAGTTTTTACCTCGGCTACCAATGAATATCTCCTATAACGTCACATAAAATTCAGAAAACATGCAAAATATAATTTTTTTATCGTTCTTGTTAAACATACTTTCCTTTTCGAGGTTCTCTCAATTTCTCTCCATCTTTTTCCCAATCCATAGGATGATATTTATGATCAAGCACTCTAAACGCAATATCATGCTTGGTGAAGATAGCATTTCCATGTACACCTCCGCCTTGATCTCTTTCTTTTCTCATATTACTTTCCATTTCAAAAAATTCACAAACAAATCCTCCTTTCCATCCTAATTCTTCGGCAATCTCTTTAAAATGATTTTTGGATGAGGATCTTTTACAATTGATATCAATTTCTTGAATTATTGCTATATCTGGGTCAAGAGATTTAAATGTGGAAATAATAAGTTCTGAACGGTAATTTCTCTCTACGTTCCATTGTAAAACTTTTAAAGTGGAATTATTGTTAAAAGATGAAGAGGGTTCGTTGTTGTAAGTGAGAAAATCTTGATTCAATGGACGAAAATCATATGTAAGAAGCTCTCCAGGAGATGGAAGTGCTTCCATTAAACACTTTTTTTTTTTTTCCTTTTTTTTGCGCGACTGATTGGCCGATCTTGATTCAACAAATATGCAAATTTTTATTGAAAAGGCATTTATGCAGGGTGAAAAACAGAAGTGCATGTCTCGACCAATAACGGAAATTTAACTAACTCGACTTGATCTGAAGATATTTTTTAATATAAATAGAAGTGTTTGTTCGATTAAAAAACAAACAATATTTTTTAGTAAAGAAAAATTTATTTTTTTTTTTTTTTTTGAAAATTAAAAATGTCGGATTCCATTAATTACGATCAAATTAAAGAAGCTGCTGCTCATCATCCAAAACCTCAAGAAATCAATTATACCTATGGAACCGCTGGTTTCCGTATGAAGTATGAATAGTTTCATTAATTGTGGGAGATTTAGTTAATTTTACGGATATAAGGTCTAATTGATTGATTTATTTTTTTGATTTTTTTTTGATTACCTTGACATTTAGAGCAGATTTGTTGGATTCTGTGATCTTCAGAGTCGGTATCTTGGCGGTTTTACGTTCAAAAAAGTTTGATTCCAAAACAATCGGTGTCATGATTACCGCTTCACATAATCCTGAACAAGATAATGGTGTCAAGCTTGTTGATCCTTATGGTGAAATGTTAGAACAATCATGGGAAGCTTACGCAACTCGATTGGCAAATGCCCAATCTGTCGATGATTTAGTTGATATCATTAAGCATATCATTTCACAAAATGACATTGATGAATCGAAGCCTGCTAGTGTAGTTTATGCTAGAGATACCAGGCCAAGCGGTCCTGCTTTGGTTGCTGCACTTGTTGATGGACTTAAGGCTCTTAACGCCAAGGTTATCGATTTTGGTATAAAAACCACTCCACAACTTCATTACGTTACACGTTGTTATAACACTCAAGGTACTGAAGATGATTATGGTGAACCATCGGAAGATGGTTATTACAAGAAACTTTCAACCGCTTTCCGTAAAATTGTGGTAAGTTACATAAAAGAAATTCTCAGATTTAAGTATAAAATAACGTAGAATTGTCGTTTTTAGGACGGTAGGCAACATCTTGCACCAATTCATGTTGACGCGGCAAATGGTGTTGGAGCTCCAAAAATTAAAGAACTCGCCCAGCATATTGGAAGTGACTATATAGAAATCATATTGATTAATGGTGATTGTACAACTCAAGGAAAATTAAATTATAAGGTACTTTATATCAAATTTATCAAATTTATCATTAGTCACTATTTATAATGAATATCCTATTTAATCTTACTTTATAATTGCAACCTTTTTAAAGTGTGGTGCTGACTTTGTAAAAACGGAGCAAGGGCTCCCTGCTGGATGTAATATTAAACATGGGGATCGTGCAGCTTCACTTGATGGTGATGCAGACCGTATCGTATTTTATTACGTTGATGAAGGTTGGTAAATTGTGGTGTGCTGCTTCTTTAATCTTTTAGTTTCTAACCTTTTTTTTCCTTTTCATAAATGTTATGATCTTTAAAGATGGAACATTTAGATTATTGGATGGTGATAAGATTGCTGGATTAGCCGGTGGTTTTATAATTGACCTAGTCAAGGCTGCGGGATTTGAAGAAATCAATGTTGGAGTTGTTCAGACTGCCTATGCAAATGGAAGTTCCACAATGTATTTGGAAAAGGTTTTGGTAAGTATTCATTAGTACGTTCTTTTTGTTTATTTAGCATATTATTGATTTTAATTGTGTAAATTTAGAAAGTACCGGTATCTTGTGTATCGACAGGTGTTAAACATCTTCATCATGAGGCAGAAAAATATGATATCGGTGTATACTTTGAAGCTAATGGACATGGAACTATTATATTTAGTCCAAAGGCTTTAAAAATGATTCGATCTGCTAAAGGGTATTGCCTTACACTGTCTTTTTTTATTATTATTATTCTTATATAATTGCTAAAAACTTATTGACGATATGAATTTATAATTTAAGACAAACAGCAGAACAGGAAAACGCAATCGAAAAATTACGTGCATTAACCGAATTAATTAATCAAACAGTCGGTGATGCCTTATCAGATTTATTACTTGTAGACGCTATCTTGACTAATCGTCAATGGACATTAAAACAATGGGATCAGGCTTATACCGACTTACCAAATCGTTTGGTAAAGGTTGTTGTAAGTACGAATAAGACTTTTTCATTCAATTGAGGATGAATGAAGAATTAATTTTAAATTCTTTATCTCTATTTAGGTCGAAAATCGTCAAATATTTAAAACTATTGATGCTGAACGAAAACTTGTAGAACCAGCAGGACTTCAAGCACAAATCGATGACTTAGTGTCCAAATATAAAAATGGTAGATCTTTTGTTAGGTAAGCTTTGATGATTTTCTTTTTAAAGTTATGTTATTTACATATAGTGTTTATATATAAATTTTAATTATAGGCCATCAGGAACAGAAGACGTTGTGCGTGTATATGCTGAAGCTGCTAACAGAGAAGAGTGTGATGAATTGGCTTATAAGGTTGCAGGGTTAATTTATGACCAAGCTTGTGGCACTGGTGGTAAGCCCAAAGAATTTTTATAAATGCAATGCTATCTAATAATAATATTTAAATTAGATATCGGATATTAGATTTGTTTTTATTAAAAATAAAATAATTTATTTATAATGGTAATGATCCCTTCGCTTTGTGAGATAATTATATTTTCTACATATATAAATCATGTGAAGTCAATATGTTCATAATATATCAGTAAGAATGTATATAATAAATGTCAATATATTAAAACATGATCATGTAAAATCAGCAGTTTGAACTTACAAATGCGAATCCATAATGTCATCAAAACAAGAAAAAATGTGGGACTTGAAAATCACATCAAGCTCTCGTTCCGAATTTTCTCGTTGCGGAATTTTTTTATCGATCATATTGTATCTAGTTTACATGAGTATTCAGTTGTT